TTGGGAAGGGTATACGTAGTAATTAAAAGATGGGATTATAGACTTATAGTACAAAGTTAATTAGCTAGCTCGATCCGCTACCAAAATAGACATTCAACAATGTTGAGTAGGTGGTTTTGTTGATGACTAACCATGAAGGTGGAACGGCGGATAAAATCACTCACAGTTCCTTAATGAACAAAGGATAAAACTATCTTCAGGTCCAAATGGACATTATTATTGTGTTGTTGACTAACCATGCAGGTGGAACTAATACTGAATCATTTCTAGTTTCGTGATATGGTTTGAATTAATATTGATTACACCTACTTGATTTTCAATTAATGTGCTTTCCTTATATGAGTGCTTATACTTTGTCAAGAATATTATTTTAAGCAAAAATACCTTTTTGCTTGACCAAATAATATATATGTATTTTATTTGAGTGGTATATTACTTTATGGAAAGTAATATGAGTGCATTTTTGCATGACCATTATATATGTATACGTAATTGTGCTTTTAACTTTTTTTTATCATCAACTCCGACGGCTTAGATTAATAACCAATAATAGTTTAGAGTATGGGTCAACAGACAAAAATAAAACTGATAACCGTTATCCCTCGAACCAGACTTGGAATTAATCGTTGTAGCAATATAATTCGCTGATCCATAACCAGGAAACAAAAGCCTAAATACGGTTACCAAATTCCTCTCATCTCCCACATCCAAAATCAACGTCTTACAAACAGGAACGATAAATAATAAGCAAATAGCAAGACAGACATAACAATCACTGAAAAAACAAACAAAACCAATAAAATAAATCTTCTTCAAAACCCTAGATTTGCTTGCACACCATGGCGGCGGCTCAGGAGGGGGTCGTGCCCGTCGCTCACTCGCGCGCCACAATGTCACCATCAGACATGTCCCCGAAGCTTTCCATGCAAATTTGTTGCTTGAACCTTCTGCCAGCCCCTTGCCGCATCTCAAGGCTCCTTCGATCCAGCTGCCGTTCGTCTAATCACCGTATTCAACGGGCTAGACCTTCTTTGTGATCGAAACCCACGATCGGAGAAACGAAGAACCCGGACAACGTCTTCGACAATAGACAACATCTTCCAAACAATCCAAAGAGACATCTAACAAATAAAGACTCGGAGATACGACGGAGAGCCGTCTCCGGACAAACCCTAGGCCACCTAGACTGTAACACCGTCCCCAAATATATTTACTTTTATGTAAATAATGTATTGAACCTTATTAAAGGATTAATGAATTTACGAAGTTGTAAATTTTTATTATTTCTTTCGCGTGAATAGTAAATTGCACGTGGGACCCACACCGGGAGCGGGGGCCGCCCGACATTCCCGAGACCATATATTTTATTCATCTTGGTCTAGATAATAAATATATAGTGGTGGATATTTCTTTTGGGCCATAGAAAGGCCCGGAGTCGACCGATTGGTCAAAAGAGGCCCAAATTACCGGTACTGGTAATTTAACAGAAACAGCCCGAAAATGAATCTCGGAGACTTCTAAATTAATGTTTTGGAATATATATTATTTCAAAAAGGCATTATGATCGAGAACACACAACATATTTTATTTTACCCGATAAAATAAAATATAGTTAAAACAGACCGAAAAATACAACTTTTGGGGCCGAATGTACACTTTGGGACACAAAGGGATGACCTCCCACATGAGTGGGGGCCACCCCACGTTTTTGTGGGCTGTGAGAGGAGGGAAGGCTGGCTGATTGGAGAGGAGGGGTGTGGGAGTGGTTGACTTGAGGGGATTGACATCAAAAGAACACATGGGGGGGTCCTTGCCATGTTATCATGGTGGAATAAGCCAAAAGTTGGCATTTCCTCTCACCTCCACCCTCATTTTCGGCCAAGGCTCATCAAGAGGAGAGGAAGCCCCCTGCAAAATACATCCTCCATATCCAAGAACAAAGCCCAAGCAATAGGAGTCCAACGAGGAAGATTATAGAAGGAAAAAGCTAGGAAAAGGTGTGAAAACTAAGGTAAGAACCTTATCATAACTTTTTCTTTATTTTTCTCCTACCATATGAGATATATATCATGTGAAGGATACTTAAGAGGGTTCTACATGTTATAAGTATGGATTAATGGGTTGGAAAGTGATTCTATGTCCAAGAACGGACTTAGAAGCCAAAACGACCGGTTCACCCTAAAATAACCTTTTTGAGGTTATTTGTATTAACATGGGTTTTATGATTATAAAACCTTGTTAGGAACTTGTAAAGGGTATTTCAAGTGATTTCACAAAGTTGGAAAAGTCGTCGGAGTAGTCGCCGGAGTTGACCAAAAGTCGCCGGAGTTTCACCGGAGTTCAACCAAGAAGGGTAGAACTTCATAACGCTAGTTCAAGGTGAGTGAACGGCTTAATATCTTATAACTTTTGGGTTGATTATGAGATTACCTAAATAAATGTTATATGAGTTCATAATGATGTTTAAAAGATATTTAAACATGTGATTAGCCAATAGAGTTAAGTTTGTATGAAAGAAATAAATTGTTGATGCATGGAATATGATATGAAGAATTATATGAAATGCATATTTGTTTGAAGTATATTAGAAGCATAAATGAATATTATTAACTTAATTATATGATGATTAAGTTGATACACACAAGGCATGAAATGGCGGTCAACGAAAACGTTGACCGATGGACAAGGGATTTAATTAATACCGGTTGGTATTAATTAATTATAAATCTATATAAATGCATGGTTTTGCATGGATTGTGATACATAAGCTTTATGTATTGAATTAGTTGTGAGTAACTAAGTATGATATAGACTCTATCTAGGTTGATAGAAGGTTGATCACAGGAAAATATTTTGGTGGAGGACCCTAGTACTTAAAAGTACTTAACACTCAAAATTTGGTGGAGGACCCTAGGACTTAAAAGTCCTTAACACTCGGATTATAAATTGGTGGAGGACCCTAGGACTTAAAGTCCTTAACACTCGGATTATAAATTGGTGGAGGACCCTAGGACTTAAAAGTCCTTAACACTCAAACTTGGTGGAGGACCCTAGTACTTAAAAGTACTTAACACTCAAAACTTGGTGGAGGACCCTAGGACTTATGAGTCCTTAACACTCGCAAACCGGTGGAGTACCCAAGGATTATGATCCTCAAAACTCATAGATTATGATATTGAAATAGGGACAAGGAGGAGTCCTATACACTCATAGGTATATGGGTGGGTTGGGGTTTTTAGTCAAAAATATTGACTATTACTATTTTTCCCAAATAAAACGGTGATCTACGGATCAGATATTTTCCAAGTATATATATACTAATAAGTATTTCATAACTTGGGGGAAAGACTATTTATTTAAGTATCACCCTATGTTTGGGTCTTATACTTGAAACGCTAATTATTCTATATTTAGCCTGCTACTCGCTCGGTACTTGTACTGACCCCTTTGGCCCCCCCCACCATTTTCAGGTTGAAGCTAGAGCTTGCTACTTGCACCTTCTCACGGGTGATATCACATCAGGAAGACGTGGTTCGTGCTTCCTTATTTTCTTTCAAACTACCGAACACTTGCTCATGGATATTTGTTCTACTATAAACTATTTTTGGGGCTTGCATGCCCATGTTGTTGGCCGGTTGTGGCCTATGACTTACCGTTGAATATTTCCGCTATTCATTGGTTTAAATGTGATGTTGTTATGTATGTTTACTACTGAGTATGGATGGATTGTTTTCTCGAACGCCTTGTGTAATTAAGTGAGGTTGACTCGTGTGTGACGTCACTTAGTTATACGGCGGTTGTACACGCGCTTGGATTGCGGTCTGGGGCGTGACATAGACGGCGGTTCTAGAGAGAGGGAACGTGATCTGTGCAGATGCTTTGGTTGGTAAGGGTTTATCTGGTGGTCAACAGTTTAACAAGCCTGGAGCAATAGCAATTATTCTATGGTTTAAATGTGACAAAAATAATTGTGCTTTTAACTTTATAAAAAGTAATTGTGTTTTTTTATAAAGTAACTTTTGTTTGCTTATAATTAATTGATTGTATGAATATCTTATTTCCATATGAGTAGTTGCTGCATAATTACGTACATGCTTTTATTCAAATATATTTCCATACAAGATTAGACATCCAATTGAATTAATTGACATATATAGATTATGGAAAGTATCTTTAAAATACCTTGCTTCCTTTATGGTAGTTGACCGTAGCACTTTTGAATATGCTAAGTAGCTTGCCACACAAGATTGAAAAAGCTTTGTCCACTTAATGTATTAAATAAATATTTTTAGTATCTTGGCTTGCTAAAAATAAATAATATGTTGGCACATGATTTGAATATATTATTGTCATGGTGCGTACATCCTTCTATATATTAGCATGATATCTTGTGAATTTGATTGCCCTTTGCATTGAGTTCGAATAAAGAAGATCATTATAGAAGGAAGGTTTTTCAAATAATATCAAGGCAAATCCCATGATTAGCTACAAGACTATTCAAGGAAAGAGATGCATCAACAGACATATCAAGGCAGCCTATATAAACGAAGCAGCCAAAGCGAAATGGCGTGTGCTTGACCAGAGAAATATTCAGAGATATAATCGAGAAAATTACCAAGTCCAAGGCACCTGAAAATGCTCTCGGAGTTCTAGATATAGTTTCTTCTTCCCCTCTTATATTGTAATTGGGTTTTTGAGGATTGGCTAAGTGTAGCATCCTCGGGTTGGTTTGTGTGTTGTGAGAGCTTTGTTGTAAAGCTGAGAGGCTCTCTACTTGCAAGGTAGAGAAGCATAAGTCTTCCTAAAGAGGATAGAGTTGGGGTCGCTCAATAGTAGACTAGGAGAGTTTCCCTTGTAATCATTCAAATGCTTTTTAGTGTTGTTTAAAATTCATCTGAGGGAGGTCGAGGTTTTTTAATCCCTTTGAGCCAAAGGATTTTTCTTCGTTAAATCCTTGTGCACTTTACTATTACGCAATTCCCTTTACCCCACACTAGAACTTGGCGAAAAACTGCCACGGTTCAACACACAATTCCCACCTCTTGTGTTGCTAACCGTTTCATCAAACAACACAACAAATTCATGACAAGACTTACATAATAGCCTCGAAATTATAATTTCTTAGTTGTCAAAATCGAGAAGCATGAACATTAAGCAAAAACAAAATCCCCCAAATTAAACAAAGCGCTTAAAGGCAAGCCGACCTCATGCATGCATGCATAAACCCAACACGACAGAGACGTACATACATTACTTGAAAACAATTTGAGCTTTTTCAGACGCACGAGGGAGCTTCAACAGCTGATTTTGCAACTTGTATTGGTCAATGTGACGACCTCTCAACTGAATAACGACTTTGTCCAGTGCAGGTGAACCCAACAACAATGCTTTCACAAAATACATTTCTACCAGGTTCCCACCAAACCAGTTTAACTTCACATTTTCAAGCATGTTCAGATTCAGATTAGCCATGTAATCTTTTGCACCCTCCAGAACTTTTGAATCTTCTGCTGTTTCCCTTTCAGTGCCCCAATCATCAAACACTCCCTGCATGGGCATCAATGGATACTGGCAAAAATCAAACTTAAATAGACTAAAATATAGATGAAGTGCATAAATTGGACAACCATTATATATATCATTTTATTCCTAAAATATATAGTACTCATCCACTCTTGATTGAAAAAATTGTTTGCTCGACTGCTCGAGCCAAAGTTCCAGAGGAAATGACAAATTAGCGGGATTTTGCCGTTATCATTCCCAAAATACGGGAGTGAGATTTTTTTTTCTAAAAAAACGGGAGAGAGAATTTAGGACAATTTGTGCTTTTTAGGAACTCATAAGTCCTATTTAGGATAATTTCCGTTTGTTTTTTAATTTAGGAAGGCCTCAATGCATCATTTCTAATAAATCTTTTTTATTTATAATTCAACTATTATAAAAAATATATTAAATTAATACTCCCTCCGTCCCGCTAAGAATGTCCCATTTTACCTTTTCGGGAAATCCCACTAAGATTGTCCCATACCAAATTTGGTAAAGTTTGTGTGGCTCTAAATCATTGTTAGTTTGTTCCCACTTTATCAATTCGATATCAACCACATAAACCAACTTTTCTTAATATCGTGCGACCTCCTTCTGTCCCAATGTTAGTGGGACGGAGGTAGTAATATTTTATCATCTTTCTTATGACACTAATATTGAATATATAAAGTTTTGCAAACAAATTGAAGTTTCAATTGTAAAAAGTTTTGAGATCCATTTTCATATTACCTCCGTCCCGCTCAACTTTGCCAAGTTGATGTTAGGTGAGAAATTAGAATAGTAAAAACTGTGTGGTTGAAATTTGTGCAGAGGAAAGAGAAATGAACAGAACCACAAAATCATTGTTTTAAAGGGAAAGTGACAAAGTTTTTTGGGACAAACAAAAAGGAAAAGTTGGCAAAGTCCAGTGGGACGGAGGGAGTATAAAATAAATTGGAGTACTAAAATTAAAATCTGATTGATAAAAATAAGTTTTTTTGACATGTTTCATTTATTTAAACAATGACATCTTAATTTTATTACATCAATCAGTCAGGATCAGCCAAATAAGCCACTTCAGCCAAAACTTCCTAAATTTCAGCAGAATCAGCCAAATCAGCCGATTTTTTTGCTACCAAACGAGCTCTAAGTGTTACAAGACTTATGACTAAAACGTCAAAAACAATAATAATTAAGTCTCCCTAATACTTCCTTGTATTTAAAAGATCGCTACATTATATTTTGACACAATATTTAAAGAGTGTTTCCGATTGATTCTACTTTAATAAAGTGTTTTGTAAAGTGATTTTGAAAAAAAGTGTTGAATAGTGAAAGTTGGTAGTGTTTAAGTAAAAAGTGTTTCGATTAAATGTATCAAATAAATTTAATCGGATAAATTCAACCAAATAGATTATACATAAAGTTTAAACAAATAAGTTTGATCAGATAAATTTGAATAAGATAAATTTTAATCACATAAGTTTAATCATATAAATATAATTTGATAAAATTTAATAAGATAAATATAATCAAATAAAATTTATTCAGATAAATATAAACAAATAAAATATAATCAGATAAATATAATCAAATAAATATAATCAGATAAATTTAATCAGATAAATTTAATCAGATAAAGATAATCACCTCCTTCATTTCCAAAAAATTTATTCAAAATTATTTTTTGTGATCAATTTTCCTTTTTTTAATCGTGATCATTATTCAAAATTATTTAAAAATCATTATTTATTCAAAATATAAAAATTGAGCTATTATAAAATAAAAAAACTCTAGTCCGATGTGCAATGTCCAACAGGAGTGTGATTCCATTTTTGAAAAATAAATCTTATCTATGGTCGGGTTCCCCACTTCCGACTGGAGTTCTTTAAAGAATTAAACAAACCCTATCTCCAGTCGGATTTCTAACTCCCGACTCCCGTATATTAAGAAATCCTACTGCATGTAACATTTTCCTGTACTTTGGGAAATCACCCAAAGTTCCATCTTAAAGTATCATTTTGATAGGAGTAGCACGGATGAAGTGCATCGATGTAGATGTATAATGTTTTATAATAATCCAGTTTGGGATAATTATTTTAACATAAATTTTACTACGTATATGGTTATAAGTCATACTATCTTTGTTCTTAAATAATTGCAACATGTCGAATTTTACACTATTAACATGTTGTACTTTGACTTAATTAATTTTATTCCTCAATGTATTGCTGAATTGCTTTTTGAAAAATGTCATTAAACTTGTCTTATGATAAATTTTCAAATTCTAATTTTTTTACTAATAGAGAATTAAATATATTGAACGTGAAAAGAGGACTGTTGCAATTTAATTTCTCCGTAAAAGAGAATGGAGGATATAAATAATCTTATTAGTGCAATTCTGTTAACTTTTACTACCTCCGCCCCCCTAAGTTTGGGACAAGAGAAGATGACACGGTTATTAATAAAAGTGAGTTTATGTGGTTGATATTGAATTGATAAAATAAGAATAAAATAAGAATGATTTAAAACCATATAAACTTTACCAAATAAGGTATGTGACAATCTTAGTACGTGGAACGGACCGAAAACGTAAAATGAGACAATCATAGTGGGACGGAGGGAGTATCTTATTTGGTAGGAATAACGTAACAAAGAGCTGAGGATACGTATGTGTGGAATATATGTGTCACCTAAACACCTACCTCTAGGGCTCCAGATATGTGCAGTTGGCGCAGGTTGGGAGATTTCTTAATCAACGTCATAACGAACGCTACACACTTCTCGCATGTAGAGTCAAACCCATATAGATTGATCACATCCAAATTGATTGCTGTTGGGAACGTCGGTATGCATTCTGCAACATCTTCACACTTGAAAACAAAAAGTGTGAATGATTAAAATGAAAAACGGCGCTAATAATAGAATAATAGATAGCCAAACTTCATTCAAGAACACGAAATGCGCTAATAATACACAGCCAAACTTCATTCAAGAACACGAAATGCGATGGACATAGTACATTAATACATACTGAGTAATAAATAAAATGTAGATTCTATGGTACGTACTGGAGTTGTCACCGTACGTACTGAAAACCACAGTGCAAATACTACTATAGCTAGTGCAAATACTACTATACTACTCCGTAATATAGTGTAGTACAATAAAATTTGTTTACAAATAAGTGGAAATAAATGATCGAGGTGACTATTGTAATAACAAGTACTATCTAAGTAGTAACATAGATTCACTTCTAATGCTTAAATGACCATTCCGCTAATGGTAATAATTTTAGTTAAAATTTTCTCATAATAACTTCTTAATTATTTTCCCTTTTGGATTGTCCTATAATTAAGTGGCATATTTATTTTTTTGAATATAAATATGTGGTTAGCAATATTCACTTGATTATACTCAAATTTCAATCATAATAATTTATTTATAATTGTGTCAAAAAATTACCAGACATCTAAAATGGGATAGAGGTCGTAATGTTTATTGAAAAACTTCATAATTGTATGCATATACCTACATAATAAACTGTAAAACTAAATATAATCAACCTTCAATTAATGATATTTATAAAACATTGAACACTCTATTATATAAATGATCTATATTTGTTGAAAGTATGATCAGTCTTTTAATTATGTACCACTAAAGAATTATAAATAACATTCAGAAGGTCATAGTTAATTAACGGGGAAATTCAATTTCACACCCGATGTTCTTAGTGATATTTGACTTTGCATCATGTATAAATGTATAATAACTATTGGTAGTGAAAAATAAAGTTTCCTATATAACCAAAAATATTCATAAATTTTTAGTTATGTTGTGATTAAATTCTCAAACTGAGAGCAAACATTCATTGCATATTATCTTAAAAAAATGGAAAGAAGTCTTATTTTGGAAATAAAACAGTTTGTACTTGGTTATAATCTAAAAGTTTGTGTAGATAATACTTCCACTTTGATTTCTTAAAAAAACTTACAAATATTCCCTACATATACTCTCCATTGATGAGTGGTTTATTTTATCAACCTGGTTAAAAAAATACTTCTACTTTGAAAGATTTTTTATAGTATATTGCAAAAAAAGAACTAATTAAATCCTAAAAAAATCAATCATGGTGCAAAGCTAAAGAAGGCAGACAAAAGAAGAATGTAACAGAAATGGCATATTCTTACCCATAGCTTAGTGATCGAAAAGGTAAGAGACTGGATCGAAGTCAAATGAGGCATGATCCATTTGGTTTGGACCTTGTCCAACTCAGAGCCAGTCACACTCAATCTTACCAGTTTGGGAGCGTTGACCAGAAAACCATTGACCCCAAAGCAATCATTGAAGAACAGTTTCTCGAGTTCAGGAGCAATAGAGACAGCATCACCTTTGACATACCCACTTCTGAATATCACCGATTCAAACCCCATTGAAACGGCGCAGGGAAGGGTCATCTGACCGTTTACAAGGTTCGGGCAGTCACAAACGAGACCCTCAACGTACAAAACGCGGAGGGTCGGGCAGGAGAAGATAGCAGCGGGCAGCACCAGTCGTTTCATCCGAGCCAGGAGGGAGATGTTAAGCTCCTCAAGGCCGTTAGTGGAGAGAAAGAGGCCCCAACGGTCCAGATCAGATTGAGGAGGTATGGGGTCAAAGTCAGACTGGAGTTCAAACTTCTTGACCGGACCAGCACGGCTGGCCAGAATGTCGGAGATGACCTTGAAGGGGTTGTTTGGCACAAAGGTGAAGAAATATGGATCAAACACGAGCTTCCCATGGCGGGGCCAAACGCCCTTCCAGTGAGTTGCGAGCACGGAAGTTCTGGCTGCGTCTCGGGTGTCCAGACCCTCGAGAATCCGGTCCTTAACATCTGCTGGGAGTTGGAGGGTTACATCTCTTCTTTCCTCCTCCATGACCGAACGATACGATTGGCAACCTAATTAAGCTGCAGTATAGTACGTATATTTTGCTTAATTGGCTCTAGATTGGTAGATACAAGTAAGGAGGCAATTTATAAAGAGCGGCCTGATTGAGGGCGGCAGCATGCCGCTAATAATAACTCCGGCCGCAGGACATGCATTATGCATTAGGAAGCGCAACAGGTACCTTGGGGATTACAGATTTACAGTGCATAATAATTAAAAAGATGGGGGCTTTGGATAGTAGGTTTGGATATATGACGGTACATTATTAATTACCTTGTCTTCCCTATCTGTCTATACGTATCTGGGGTGGGCAAACAGGTACTAGAACTGCGGGTAGGGTAATATAGGTTCGGGGCAGGTCCTAATTTTAGAAAATCCAAACGGTTCGGGGCGGGTCCTGAAAAACATAGGAACCAATATAATTCAAACGAGTCTCAATATTTGAAACGGGTACCTGGACCGAACCGTTTTAAAATATTATTTTAATAATCTCTATTATATTTAATAGACAAAGACTTCGAATTAAAGAAACTTTTCAATCTATTTAAACTAGTTTCCAAGTCCGTATAATTAAACTTCTAAATTATTTTCCTCTATTCTCTATTCCAAATGCATCAAACTTTCTTTCTTTAATATTTTTTGAAAACAAGGACTCTTAATCAATGAAGTGTGACATATTCATTTAATTATCTTAATTTTACTTATACTTGGAGATTTAATCAGTTTTAAATTGTTTTCATAAACAAATATGTATAGTAATTAAACTAGTTTAATTTCTTATGAATTTATGGTCCTATCTTTTTAATTTTTTATGAATGATAATTAACGTTTTAATTAAGGTGGTTATATGTTGTAGTTTATAGATTTGTGGTTCGATATTTTGTTAACTAATTTAAAATGTTGTCTTCTACTTTTATTTTGAAATTTTACTATATTAGGGTTAGATTAATACGTAATTAATTTGGTCAAAACTATACATAAAAACACACTACAGAAAGAACTGCTTCAAAAGCATATCACAAAACAACGAGATAATCCAAAACATAAGGAGACGACACTAAAGACATCGACATGAATGACTTTGATCTATACCAACTTTAAACATTCATGTTTAGGTGAACGATGTAATTAAAATGCAAACAGAATATATAGTGATTAATTGAAGTTTTTGCAGGACATCGGGCACCCTCATTGAGTCAAACTTGTCACGTGTCCAACCACAAAGCTGGCCTACTAAGAGGTATACCTTGAGTTCTACCTCTGTAACGACTATCCCCAAATACACCAGGGAAATGACCATTACCTAACCCAAAGGTAAACAAGTCTCGATGTATATATAAAGCAGAAACAAAAGTACTAAGCCTTGAAGGGTGACTCCATTTTTAAGACATAATCAAACCTTACGACAAACAACGATGAGTACCAAACGAAAACATTTTAAAACTGTTTACTACCTGATCAAGATTTCAAGGCATTTCACAAACCATTTAGAAGTACCAAAATACTAAAAACAAAATATAACAGCAAGCAAGGTCTTCTCTGTTAACCCATCCAAAAGCCTCGGCACCAACTCCACAGACTCTCTCAGGTCTTCGTATTGCACTTGTTACCTATACATGATAATACAAGAGAATGGAATTCTCGTAAACAATAATGCTTAGTAAGTCATCATTACATCCAACTAAAACATAAAAAGAGTCTTAGCTAGTCATAAACAGATACACAAGCTGGAATATGCAACACATAAGCTGGAATAAAAGATGAAAAGGAAGAATTTTGGCTCATGAACGATCATCGCTCAATGGCGGCAACCTAGCCACTGGATCCTATTCGATCCTTTGCGTTTGTGCTAACCGGAACCCCAAAGGATGAGATAGCGATCAAAACACCATCACGATTTAAGGGAATGCCATCATTGGAATTCTCTAATGAAGAGGTGGACATTTTGGCTCGTAAGCATTGTCATGCGCTGGTTGGTTCTTTCCTCAGCGGAAGACCTAATTTGGCAATTATCCGAAAAGCTTTTGAGGCTATTGGCTTCAAGAATTCCTTCCCTCTAGGTCTTTTGGCTCATAAACATGTGTTAATTGATTTGACTCGGAAGATGATTTCCAGCGTTGCTGGTTATGACGTGTGTTGACTACTCAAGGTTATAGCATGAGGATCTCCAAATGGACCTCTCAATTGAGTGCGGACGTTGAATCTCCAATTGTACCGGTGTGGATAGCCTTTGAGGGGCTTCATATTCATTTATTTGATAAACGAGCATTATTCTCCATTGCAAATCTAGTCATTAAGCCTCTTAAATCTGATGCTGCCACTACAAATCTTTCTAGACCCTCGGTAGCAAGGGTTTGTGTTGAATTAGATCTTACTAATTAAAGATCACCCCCAAAAAATTTGGATTCGGAATGGTGATGAAGGTTTCACACAATCTGTAATATACAAAGACAAGCCTAAATATTGTTTAGATTGCCTCAAAAAATTGGGCATTCTGTCTCTAAACTAGCAGCCAATACCCAATAAGTCATCACAACAAAAAAAAAAAGAAACAATGGGCACAAAAACAGAAACAACTTGATGTTGATATTGCTAAGCATCATCAAAAACAAAAACATAAATATATCTTGCAGCAGGATCATTCGGCCAAACATCCTTAGAGCTCGGGAGTTCAAAAGCCAGATGCCGCAGCAGGGAATCAGAACTCTTATATTCATCACAAGGAGGGAATAAAAATGCCTCGGCTAGAATCAGATGCAAGGACATTGGTGGAGGGCATCCTGCGGGGTGTTGACCTGCAAAAATTAAAAAATAGAGATGGGAACAACTCAGAAGGGGAAGAACGTGATGATAGATCCATTTTGACCAAGGAAGAATGGAAAAATATTCTACATCTACTCATTAAAAGGGTATTTGTTGTTGTTAAGAATAAGGAGAAAGATAATGAGCAGGCTGAACAAAACCAGTGAGGAAATGAGATCATTCAAACAGCTAGGAAAAAACGCACCAAAAGAGACTATAACTTCAATTTACCACCTATTTTAATAAGATTTCAAGTAAGGAAAAAGGTTGGTGCATCCCAACTAGTTTCCTTATGAATGTCATATCTTATAATGCTTGTGGTCTCTTCCTCATGCCAGAGACTACAAGTTTTGGTGAGGCAATGGGGACTATTTCCTTAATCATTACTATTGAGCCATTGGTTTCTGTGTCTAAAGCAAGTTTTTTCCAACACAAGCATGGTTTTAATCAAGGTTTTTGAAGTCGGATAATAAAATATGGGTGTTATGGAAGGATGAGGATTTCACTCTATCAGATTTTGAAACTATTGATCAGGTGTTACACTTCGATCAATGTTTCTGATAGAAAATGGGTGTGGTCTTTTTTATTACTTTGCTATTTATGGAAAACATACCCGACAAGATAGGGTCGTGCTTTGGAACTGGCTAAATCAGTGGAAGAATAATAACTCAGCTCCCTGGCTTGTTGGGGGTGATTTTAATGTCTTTCTCTCAATCACTAAACATCAGGGGCATACATTTCCTGAAATTAATGATATCAATGACTTTAAGGAGTGCTTAGATAATTACTGTGATCTTGGGAAAATACCTTATAAGGGAAATAATTTTACCTAGACTAAAGTGAGATCTCAAGGTAGATTATGGAGGAGACTTGACAGATTTTAGGTAAATGATATCTTTCTGGACATATTTGATTCGGTCATTGAACATCATTTGGTTAGAACATCTTCTGAACATTCTCCATTTGCCTAAAATCGTTGATAGGGGCCCTAAGCAGTTCAAATTTCAAAATATGTGGACTTTATGTCCATGCTTAGCTTTCAGGCTTGCGTACAAAAAAGTTAGCAGGGAACAAAAACAGGGGGAGGAATGAGAGGTTTGTATCTAAAGTTGCAAAGGCTTAGGGCTGACTCAAAAGAGTGAAATAAAATCAACTTTGGTAATGCCTTTGACCAGCTTGTTAAAGCTGAGAAAGAGGCAAAGGAAGCTGAGCAACAGTTTGACAGCCACCCATCTCTATAAAATAGAGAAAAGTGGTCAAAAGCCCAAGCTCAACATAAATTGAAACTAAAACAAGAAAAATGGTTCTAGAGGCAGAAAGCTAATCTCAAATGGATTTAAGAAGGGGATGCTAATACAAAATACTATCACAATTACGTTAAAATCCGGATCAAGTATGAAAGGCTTACCAACTTGACGTGCACTTTGTCGTGGTGTGCACTCAAAATAATAATACAATACAACAATTATACGTAGTATAATGAAGTAAGGTTCGTATCCGCAGGGAAAGGAATACTTCTCTTTTTATAAACTAGTAATAAGGGAGGGTTTTAGATTGAGTGAATGAACCTAAATTATATTTAAACACGAAGATGAACGAGTTATGTGGTTTAATTAATGAGAAGAAGACTTGACTTTGCTTTTATCCACTTAATGAAATGTTCGTCGATCCCGGTTATCTTTAACTATCTTCCTCTCGAATACTCAATCGAGGAGTATATCCAGTTCATTGAGGGTAGTTATTAATAACGAGACGCGTTCATTAATAAAACTTACTACCGAGTTAATATAGAACACACGCCATATATTCACTCGATAGTAGCAATAAAATCAAGATGACAACGATTGAGATTGATAACCTCAACACAAGCGGTTTATCGGTTTAATCAATATAATTAATTCCCCTTAGATTATTAACCATGAGACGCATGCATTAACAACCCAAGTTTACTACCGTGAAAGGATCGAATTAATAACAAGCGTATTAATCGACCGATTCTAGTATTAATTAATATATGAAACAAAACTAGTTGATCCTTTAAGTAATGCTCAAAATATTAATATGTAATAGGAATAGGAATTAATTAATATTCAAGGAAGAAGATTAAAGAAAATAACTCACAACTTACAATTCATTAAGCTTCAAAGTAGCAAAACCAAGATGGAAGAGTTTAGCTCCTCATTTGGAGACTAAACATGAAGAAAATATAAAGAAAGAACTTATCTAGACTGAGCTTAGAATATATAGGAATTGGTGTTTTATTGTGAAGGAAATGGGGTGTATTTATAGGCTTTTTAGGCTTGCAGGGTCATGTACCCGATCAGGCTTTCAGCTCACTCGATCGGGTATAATATGTGGCTTCTTCGAAGCTGGAAAATGGGGTCATACCCGACCGGGTC